GGGTCCTAGCCAGGGCCCTGCGGGGGAGGGGGCGGGGAGAGGTTGAACCCTGCCTCGCTGCATTTGGAGCAGAAGACGAGTTAGGCCTCTTCTTTATCTTCGGTTGTTCCAGGGTTTGAAGACGGGTCGACTACAACTCCCAGAATCCCCCAGACTGCACACTTTAAAGATGGGCGGACTTCAACTCCCAGAATCCCCCAGGCAGCTATAGGGAACTCTGGGAGTTGAAGTCCGCCCGTCTTCAGAGGCCCAGCTGGAGAAACACGGAGTTGTTCGTGTGCCCCCCCCCCCCCCCCCCCCCCCCCCAGCGCTCCAGGAGGCTGCAACAAAGCAAGAAACAGCATCAGAATCCGCCTAAATTTTGCAGAGGACTGGAAACCTCTGTAAAAATTGCTTCGTGCATAAATTTCGTGGGAGGAAGGTTTGGTAGTCAGGAGGCCGCATTCTTGATTGAGTTCCCCCAAGGCCAAAATGTTGCTTTTGTGCGTATGGATTGAATCAATGTCTAGCATGGTAAAGTCTTTAATTTGTCAAGGTCTCTGGTCACTGATGTGACAGGGATGTTACAGTGGCAAAAACTATGCAACCATTAAAACAATGAAAAACCATGAAAGCAATCAAGCAGGGGTGTCAAACGGGACGGATCAGCATTGTAGTTCTCCTCTGCAGGACAGTGGGGGTGGGTGGGCAGACAGACACCTACAGCACCCTGCTGGCCAAGACGGGGGTGCAGAGGGGGGCCACGCACACCTCGTTTTTGGCCTCCATGGCATCCTGCAGCACTCTCCTGGGTTTGGCCGGCAAAGGCCCCGCGGGCCAGTCCTTTGATATTTCCAGGCCAGTACTCTGTGGGCCAGATTTAAGCAACCCGCGGGCCGGATTCAGCCCACGGGCCTTGAGTTTGACACCACTGCAATAAAGTGTTCCTCCTTCCACACGTGTCTTAAGTAGGTGGGAAGTTATGGGGGTTTGGCAGTGATGGGATTCAGTTTTTTTTACTACCGATTCTGTGGCTTGGTGTGCATGGCAGGGGAAGGTTCCTGCAAAAAACCCCTTCCCTCCCCATTCCACTGACCTGCTTTCCAGCTCCATTCTCCCATGCAGGGCAACCAAAGAAGACTCAGTCGATCAGCTGGGACGCAATGGGAGGCAGAGAATAGATGGGGTTGGCGGGGCCAGTCAGGCGGCATTGGCATCTCTAAACTACTCCAAATTTCCACTACTGGTTCTCCAGAACTGGTCAGAACCGGCTGATTACTGCCTCTGGGGTTTGGCTGTCAGCATATCTGTAGAGTGAAGACAGTGGCCGTTGTAATTTTGCAAAGATACTGTCAGCCAGTAGCAAGAGGCCACGGCTACAAAGAGTATGCTTTACTAAGCAAATTGGCTACGCTACAGCATAGCAAAGCCGACTCTTAAAAGATTTGTGCCCAAAAGCATCTGGTTCACTTTTCCATTTCTCCCTCCTTAGTTATCTGTTGCTGTCCAATTACAGATTGTTTTGGTAACAGTCCCTGGCTTGGCAGGCAAGATAGTGCTGCATTCCAGGATGTGACCTTACAACTGTCGGTGGCTCTCACAGGGTGGCACGATGAGTGATTTCCATTATGGCAGACTGGCATGTAATAAACCCTAGCTTGCAGGCTGACAGATACCGCCCTGATGGAGAGTTAAAGAATTCTTATAACTGGATTCACAAACTATACTAGATCTGTTACTCCCCACCTGACCTGTGTTGTGGGAATCCAACCTCAGCCAAGACTTGACACAGATGATAGGTAATGCCAGTATTGTACTAAGTTAGGGGGAAATTGAGCTACTAAGCAAGTTGGTTTGCTAGCTGTAAAGAGTGTCAAGTTCTTAGCCTGGTGTTCCTTTGGATCCAAGTAGGAAAGGTAAATTCTTTTTGTGCCATATCTGTCACCGGATGTTGGCTATCAGCTTGGCGATCCTATCAACAGCCACACAAAATGAGCTGCTGAGCTTTGTCCAAACCAGTCTCTTAGATTTTGAAGCTATGATGTCCCTCTTCTGCCTGGACCTTGTCTGCTTTCAACCTTTCCCTGGAGGATTAAATGAAGTAAGACGTATTTTTCCGGGGGCATCCCATGTCCAAAATATTCTAACTTTCACTTGTTGATTATTTCCCTTGGCTTTCCCAGATGGCTTAGGGAGATTAATATCTTCTTATAACTAAAAGGAGAGATCTCCCATGGGAAAACAAGGCGAGTTTTTTTTTAAAAAAAATCACTTTATATACAGGTCAAAACATAAAGTTCAGAGTTGTGCAAGACCTCTCCCTGTCTGAAACAGTTCTTATCAGAATTTCACATTCTTGCTTGTTATTCCAAAGGACTAGGATCATTAATCAAAGGTGCTACTAGCTACTCAGAGACACACCCCTCTCCTGCTCCCCTCAGGTTTGTTCTCTTCCTAGAAAAGTTGTACATTTGTCCTTGGTTTACGCCTGGACACTTAGTGATCCTTCAAAATTGCAACGGAGCCCCCCCATTTCTGATGTCCTACCCCCACAGTTATGTGGGTACTCGACAACGAGCCTGCCTTTATGGTCCTTTGCAGTGTTCCACCATCATGTAATTATGCTTTATGATGTTTTTTGCTTAAAACTGGTATTCTTGGTTTTCCACAAAAATGGCCCATTGAGAACCATGGGTTCACTTTACCACCACGGTGGCCGCTTAAGAAGTCAACACCGCTACAAAAAAGGTCATAAAAATGGGCCCCTTCATGTGAACCCCACCTCACATTACGACCATCGGAAATTACAACTAGTGTTTAAGGCTCCATTACGATACACTTGTCCATAAAGGACTTACCTGTGTTGTATAGTAAATGTTGTACAGGTTTTCTGCCTGTGCTGTGGAAAATAAAAACAGCTGACTTCCAAGTAACAAGGATTGTTTTTGCCTCTTGTCTTCAGGGCTCAGCTTCCACCCTAAGCGGCCTTGGATCCTAACGAGTTTGCACAATGGGGTGATCCAGCTCTGGGACTATCGGATGTGCACCCTCATTGACAAATTCGATGAACATGATGGTAAGTGCTGAGTACACTGGGCGCATGAGAGGCTGCCCTAAATTTGCCATATGTGGCATGTTTTGCTATGGGTGACCTCCATTTCTTTTTTCAGTAGCTTTTATTGTTATTGAACATCGTTGCTTCCCCTCTCTCTCTCTCTCTCTCTCTCAGCGTATTTTAATTTAATCTTTTTAGTGTAAGAAAGGAAGACAAGCTAGACTTGTGATGGATTGGAACAGTATATAAACCTCAATAAATAAAAATACTTCATATTGTTATTATTTTGGTATACCACTGACAACCAGAATTGATCAAACCAGTGAAAACCCTAGCCACACCCCAGAGTTTATAATAGATGTTCTCCAGGATTTTGTTAAAAAAAACAGGTTTAATAGCTCTTCTAAATTTATTTTTTTCCTCAAAGTTTTTTTTTTTTTTACACATCTCTTCACATGAGCAACATGATTCCAGATTACAATATTTATATATAGTCATAGTTACACTTTCAACTTTCTTAATATCACTTCAAATTATTATCTATTCAACAATCTTTATATAAATTTTCCTTTCATATTTTAATTCATTAATTCAATATCAAAATCATTTCATACTCATATTTTCAATTCTTTATCCCCTATTATTTCCATTTTCAGCTTACCTATTTTATGTTACCTTATGCATTGTTATCTATAACTTTCTCAAGACCAATATATATAATTAGACAGTCAATGAAAGAAAAAACAAATAGAAGTAAGATTAATACATTTAGGATCCACATGGTATATCCCCCCCCCCCCAACTACAATATAATACCTATTCCAGAGATATTCATATAATCATTTCATATTTTTCTTTGTTTCCAAAATTTACCTATATAATTTTAATAAATTTTCACCCCCCTGCTTTTGATTATAATGAATTCATTATAAATATTTTACATTCCCACATAATCCCTTCTAGTTCATTATATTTTCTATTTTCTCGTATTCTTTGTAGAATCAATTATATTTTCTATTTCATGTATACCACAAAGAAAAAAAAGTTAATTTCCCCTTTTACTTCCCTTTGACCAATTTCAACCTATAGCATTTATATAACCTAATTCACACTTTTAAAACATAATACCAGATTTTCACCCGTCATCATATTCTCTGTTTTCCTAATATCATTTAAATAGTCATTAGCATATTTTAGAAGGGAAAGGAGGAGTGAGCAAGGGTAGGCCAGAAGAAAAGAAAAATCACAAGGGGGGAAAATATTGCTATCGTAAGATGGAGCTAAGCAATTTTCCCTTCATGGAGAAAGCAGTGAAAAGCTTTATCACGTCCCTCGATTTCTCAACGACTCCCTGTATTTTATGTTTGCCATCTAGGACCTGTCCGGGGGATCGATTTCCACAAGCAGCAGCCACTCTTCGTCTCCGGAGGGGATGACTATAAAATCAAGGTAATGTTAGGTGGGGGCAGTTCTTGGGGTTGGGATGGTTTATGAGGGGATGGAGAATTCTTTACAAATCCGTCGAAAGGAAACAGTCTGGTGGCCTGAAGAAGCAGAAGCTGTGATAGGGCAGTGGTTAGAATGCAGGGTGGCAGGCTGACTCTGCCGACTGCCGGCAGTTCGATCCTGACCGGCTCAAGGTTGACTCAGCCTTCCCTCCTCCTCAGGTGGGTAAAATGAGGACCCAGGTTGTTGGGGGACAGCTGGCTGAGTCTGCAAACTGCTCCGAGAGGGCTGGAAAGCACGGTGAAGCGATGTGTAAAGCTAAGTGCTATTTGCTGATTGACCCCCCCCTAAATTGACCAATTCAGCCATTGTCCCAAAGGTGCTTTGTGTCAAGAGGCAACTGGACTTTCTGGTAGTGAATTTAAAAAAGCACCTTTGGGACAACCGTGAACTGGATGACCGAGAAACTCCCTAGACAATTCAGCTGCCTTTCCCTTGATTACAGGTAGCCCTTGATTTATAACAGTTCCATTTAGTGACCATTCAAAGTTACAATGAGACTTTAAAAAATCGACACCATTTTTCGCATGATCGTCACTGCATCTCCATATCCATGTGATCAAAATTCAGGCGCTTCTCAACATTTATGACGGTTGCAGTCTCCCCGGGTCAAGAGATTCCCTTTTGCCACTTTCTGACAAAAGCCAACGAGGTTAATGATTCACTTAACGGTGTTAGTAACTGAACAACTGCAGTGCTTCGTTTAACAACCGTGGCAAGCAAGGTGGCAAAACAAGGGTGAAATTCACTTAAGCAGCTTCTTTGTGCTTAGCAATGGAAATTTCATGGTCAGTTGTGGTCATAAATCAAGGACTACCTGAACAAAAAGATTGAGACAGACCTGTAAGAAGGAAGTGTAGGTCTTGAGGAATTGTCATAAAAAAAATACCAATAGGAAACAGACAACAACGCAAACAAAAATTCTTACTTTTAGATCAGAGGTTTATTATTTCTAATATTTTGGAACATAAATGAATAGATATAAAGGATATAATAAGCAGTAATGCTCGTACATTACTAAGCCATTGCAATGGGGTCCAATGAGTTATCTAGGAGTCGCTTCGTTCACGTCTCTTTTTCTCCTCGAGGTCTGGAATTACAAGCTACGCCGCTGTCTCTTCACGCTGCTGGGGCACCTGGATTATATTCGCACCACCTTCTTTCACCACGTGAGTGTTCTGACCAAGGCTTCCCAAACAGCACGAAGCCGACTCCTCGTCCTGATAAAACCTCTTTTGTTTAAAATGAATTCCTCTCCAGCAAAGTCCCAGCAAACCGTCTTTCAAGAGTGATTTCACAACTACAGACCTTTATCAGGCCTGGAGAGTTGCCAGGCTGGTATCTTCCAAACGCCACCCTGTAGCAGAATTTACTTGGCAAGAAGTTAGGAACAGATCTTCACTCTAACGAATTGAACTAATTGTCTCCTGCAAACCCCACTCCCTTTTCGCTCCTCTTTATTCCCTATGCGAGGAGCCATTCACTGTCCACCTTTACTCCTGAGTCGACCCTTGTTCCTTAACTGTTCCCTTCTCCTGGCAGCTCTGCGCATGCGCACCCTGGGAACAGGCTCCAGCTGTTCTTCTTCCCCACTGATCTCAGCTGATAACTGTCAGATGGCCCTGGCCCCATCTCTGCCTCCAATGCAGAGCCCTCATCAGAGCCTTCCCCAGACTCCAGGATTGGTCCATGTTCCTCCCCAACCTCCTCACTGTCCAAATCTGCCGCCAGCTCTGCTGGCCGCCGGTGGACCACAGCAGTGAGTCCGGTTGAGCCTGCAGTCCCTGAGCTGAGCTTTTGCGACAGCTGGAAATGCTTCCTCGGTGTTTCAGGAGTCCTAAGAGGCTGCGAGGTTCCCTGGTTGCTGTCCTTGCACAGACTGCGCTCTGCCTGCCCTCTGAAAGAAAACCGTGCCGTGTCTCTTCTTCCTAGGAGTATCCCTGGATCCTCAGTGCGTCTGATGACCAGACCATCCGGGTGTGGAACTGGCAGTCCAGAACCTGCGTTTGGTAAACTCTCCACCCCATGACAATCATTACCAAATTAAAATTGTTTTCGTTTTGCAGTTTGCAGGCGTTTGCCCTCTTGTCAGGATTCCGGCAGTTACCCCCAATTAAATCATGAATCTCGAGCCAAACTTCCAGAACTTCAAAAGGATTTATTGGGAGTTAACATGTCCGGCACCGCCTGGGTGGAGCCAACTGTGAGGCACATCATTCAATGTCATCCTTGACCCCGGTTTTCCCCCCACCCCCTGGGTGTATCGTAATTCATATTCTCCAATGGGACACCTCCATAGCCCAGAGTCATCAATCGGGCTCTCCAGTTAGAATTTTGCGCTGCAGAAACTTCAGTCACCTAGTTATTATCTTTGAAAACATTTATGGAATGCACTTTCGGTTTGCAAGCTGCTGTATGCTCCCCCCACCCATTCTGTTGGCAACTCTAAAAATACCAGAGAGATATTTTATGAATTGACACCTTGGGTGGCTGTGGTTGATCACATTTCAACTAACCAACTCCAACCCAATAAACTCCAAGACAAGCATTTTCTCAAAGTCCCATTTTATGAGGGTTGTCATATTGGCCCGTCTGGGAAAACCCAAATCTGAGAGTTCCGGGTTCCCCTTCCCAGAAGGGAAAGTCAAAGATTCATCACCTGCATCACCTTTTTACTCAATAGATGCTCTCTTTTTTTTTTGCTGGAAGCTTGAAATGAACATTGGAAATTGGCAAATTAAAAAGCCCGAAATCGCATTTGTGTGACCGCAGGACTCTGGCAAGCAAGTTACAAACTTCCCAAAATTGTTTTCACTGTCCAGGGTGCGAGAGGGTGGCAAGGGAGTCTATGACAATTCGCCCTGGCCAGCTTGCTGCAGCCAATTCACTGCAGGCTAACTTGCCATGGGGCCAGAGTTGCACTAAGATCAAAGAAAGGGTGGAATAGGATCATTAAAGAAAGGGTACCAAAGGAGGGACAGAACAAAACGTGAGGTTCAAAAATTAAAATGATTTCTTACTTATTTTAAATAATTACATGGAATTGTTAAATTGTCCCAGAGCGAGTTGGCTGTGGCAAGTTGTCCTATTCCAGTCTGGGGGAGGGATGGAGGGTGGGATACAGCTGTTGTAACTCTGCAACCCGCTCAAAAACCTGGGAGGTTCGAACTGCCACTTAGCAGCCAGTCGTTAAGTGAGGACTACTTGTGCTGCCACAGCTTTGCTAAAGTACCTTTTTATTGCTCAGAGCTTGTAGGTGTGCAGTTTCTCACCTGCAGCTGTCTTGAAGGGAACTCGGGATGATGGGAGGGCTTGGTGCTCTTTGAACATGTTGGCTTTCATTGATGAACTTGCCTAGTAAGGTCATGAGACGTCTGCAAGAGTGCAGCCAAGGTCAAAGAGTACCAAGGACCCCAACATTTCATATCCTAAACTACAAATATTCTATTCATGATGGTGTTTGCCTTGAATCTCGAGGACCAATTGCTGCATTTCCCCCCCCCCTTCTTTCTAGCGTATTGACCGGACATAACCATTATGTGATGTGCGCCCAGTTCCATCCTTCCGAGGACCTGGTCGTGTCTGCCAGTTTGGACCAGACTGTGCGCGTTTGGGATATTTCTGGTGAGCTGCTCAGGTCAAGCGGGGTATCCAGCAGCGGGACTGTGCTTGAGAACTGCAGTTGCTGTGAAACCAGAGCGAGACTGGAGCGAAAGAGAAATGGGGGGAGAGGTTGACAGTTATGGGCACAGCAAGGCTCTCACATTAGCTAGAGCAGTGGTGGCTAATCTTTTTGAGCTCCTGTGCCAAAAATTGTGCACGCACTTGCACGCTTGCGCTCGTGTGCCAGCACCCAGAAGGCAATGCGCATCCCCCCCATGCCCCCTACACATGTGCGCACAATCCCACCCCACTCCCTCCTTACCTTCAGCCTTCAGAGGCTTGAGGAAGGTTTCTGCAGGCTTCGCAGGCCGAAAAATAGCCCCGTTTCGTCACTTCCGGTATTTTCAGAAAAACAGGAAGCGATGAAATGGGGCTAGTTTTCAGCCTGCAAAGCTTGCAGAAGCCTGCAGAAACCTTCCTCAAGCCTTTGGGAGGCTGAAAAAGTCCTCAAACCGGCCAAAAATCAGCTGTGAGGTGCGCGCATGCGCAGTCAGGTAAGCTTGCCTGCAGCTTGCGTGCCGGCACAAATGGCCCTGCGCGCCACCTGTGGCTCGCATGCCATAGGTTCACCATTACGGAGCTAGAGGCTAGAGTTTTACTGAACTTTCTCTCTCGACTCTAACGGGAGGGGTTGATGAGGACCCTCAATGTTAGAAAATTTAAATTTCTCTCTGATTGTAGGACAACCGCTCTCCAATTCACGATGAAACAGATTTAACAAAGGTGGTGTGTGTGTGTGAAGAATGAATTGGAGTCCAGATGGAGAATAAAAAAAGTGAAAAAATGAGGGTGGGCAGACTAATGAGAGAAAAATTGTAGGCCTTTTAGAACTATCTCTCCTTTTTTTCCTGCAGTATTAACTGTAGTTAACTGTAGTTATTAACTGTACTGTAGTTAACTTTAGTCTTCTAGCGGGAAGAGATTCTGGTTCGTGTTCCTCAAACGTGGCTCTTTTAACATATGTAGATGTCAGCTCCCAAAATTCCCCAGCTAGCACAAATTCTGGGAGTTGAAGTCCACACAAGTTTTAAAATCACCAAGTTGGCGAAACATCAGGTTGTGCAGGCAATACCCTCCACTCTCCTGGGTGATGTGTGTCAGATGGATGGCTAGATCTGTCTGGCGGGAAAACTTTGCCCCTGTGCCAAAGGAGGACGGAAGGTCCTCTGAAGTTGATCTCCTTTTGATCAACATTTGCCCTGAAATGGCATGAGGTCTCCTGCTTGAGCAGGGGGTTGGGCTAGAAGATCTCCAGGGTCCCTTCCAACTTCTATCGTATCCCTTTGGTCAGAAATGGCCCCAGACTGTGGTGCAGTCTTGTGGACCAAGAGCCTCTAGGCCTTTTGGTTTTGAAAACTGTTGCCTCTGGAGGTCTCCAGGAGGAGTCCAGCTCTTGTTGAGAGGAGCAGATCTTGGAGAAGAGTTGAAATCAGCTTGCTGGAGAGGATCCTGGCCTGGCTTCCCAGGGTTATGTGAGCCCCAAAAGGCTTGTGAATCTAGCCTTGGGAACTCCCCGCCATGGCAATTTCCAAGGTGGGTGGACTTCAGCTCCCATCATTCTCATCAACAATTATGCTGTAGACCAGGGGTGTCCAACCTTGGCAACCTTAAGACTTGTGAACTTCAACTCCCAGAATTCCTCAGCCAGCAAAGCTGGCTGAGGAATTCTGGGAGTTGAAGTCCACAAGTCTTAAAGTTGCCAAGGTTGGACACCCCTGCTGTAGACTGTAGAATTCTGGGATTTGAAGTTTGCCAAGTTTGGAAAATGCTGTGTTGCGACCTGTCGGCCCCTCCAGTAGCTGAATCAGAGGAAGAGGGGTGGGAGTCAAGGTCAACATCAGGGCAACCTGGGAGCTCCGAGGGGGAAGAGGGAATGGAGCTGTCAGAGAGAGAGGGGTGGGGGGAAAGAGAGAGGGAGAGAGGGGCGGAGCCTGGGCCGTCCATCAGCCCTCAGATGGAGAGTCCACAGCCCCCAGGTCTGGAGGTGGCTGATGGGAAAGAGGAAGAACAGCCGAGTCGAGTGCCTGACGCGTGGATGCACAGAAGGCAGAGGAGAGGAGAGCAGTGGAAATCTATGGGCCGGCCCCTTGGGAAGGAAGAGCCACTGCTCTGCTCCCAAAGCCCCACCGTAGCTCTGGAGACAAAAGGCAGCGGGCGGAGATGAATAGATGGGGCAGACAATTATTCATCTTCCTGTAGGACAGACTTGTTAGCTTGTGGTGAGAGAGGAACTTTTTGGCCGGGGCTGCCGGTGCTCCTAATAAAGGAATCTTTGAGTTCACGTCAAGAGGGTTTGTCCTGCTTGGGGAGCTGGGTCAGAACGTGCTGATTTCGAAGGAAGGAACTTTAACCCTTGGTGAGTTTGTGTGTGTGTGTGTGTGTGAGTTGCCCACTGCTTTCTCAACTGCAGTTCTTGGCCTAGTGGGTTGCTGGGGTTTTGTGGCACATATTCAGAGATGACCCAGCTGTGTTGGGGGCGGGGAGGGGGGTGGCGGAGAGGCTGTGCTTGGCATGAGTCCGTCACTTCCTCTGCCAGCACCCATGCGGTGAGCTTTCTCTCTCTCTCTCTCTCAGCAGAGCCCAAACCCCCTGAAATGGCTTCAGAGGCCTGGAAAATTGTCCCCAGGGTTTCCCCCCCCTCCCCCCGCACTTCCGGAGTTGCTGAATCGATGCTTTTCACGGTCTTTGCAACCCGACTTGGTTCAACTGAGCGTATCCATGCAGTGTCTAGACCAGTGATGGCTAACCTTTTCAGCTTGGTGTGTCAAAAATCGGGAAAAAGTGTAGCCTTCCTCAGGTCGTGTGTCACTAACTTGGTTTATGACGGACTGGGCTGGGGCGATCACACAGGGCTGTGAAACTCGTCTCCCTAGTCTCAGGGCTGTAGGTGCAGGAGGTGGGATCGGAAGGCCAGCTTACAGGGCTGTGAACCTCATGGATTTCCTTTCCTCCTGTAGCGTTCCTGAGGTAATGAAACTGACAAACCTCAGTTTGTGGCGGTTAAAACTGGTTCTCTGCTGCAAAGATCTCGCGGCAGCGGTGACACCACGCCTCCACGCCACAAGCAGGGAGCAGGGATTGGAGCAGAGCACAGGCAGCCTCTAAATGTGCAGGTTTTCCCCACACCAACAGGCGTGTCAGTCAAAGTGCCTCGGCGTGTCACGAGTGACGCGCGTGTCATAGGTTAGCCATCACTGGTCTAGGGAGATTCTCAGTCGTCTAGATCAGGGGTGTCTCTTCAACCTTGGCCACTTTAAGACTTGTGGATTTCAACTCCCAGAGTTCCTCAGCCAGCAAAAAAGCTGCAACGGTCGTATGAGAAACGGTCCCAAGTCCCTTTTTCCCCCCCAGTGCTGTTGCAACTTCAGAAAGGTCACTAAACGAAGGGGTGTAAGTGGAGGACTACTGTATATCATCTTGCAAGAAAGAGCCGCTCTCTGATTCATGGTGCTTTGAGCTCCATTCTGAAATCTGAGGTTTCCAGAACTTTTGGTCTGTCTTGATGAAACGGACCAGTTAGAACAGAGTTCCCCAACTTTCCCGGGTTGGCCGCTGGGAAGGGATGGGTGGGGAAGAGGGGATGATTTTGTAGGAGGGGCAAACGCCCACAACGTTTGTGGCAATGCTCGCTCAAGTGGGGTGCAAGCGCCTGCTACGATGTTCGTGCAAGTAAAGCCGTGTGTGCACACGCTAAGGCGCACACTGCACGCTAAGCCGCGCACCGCACGCACCAGCCAGCCCCTCTTCGACTGGATATCAACCTCTTCCAAAACACAGTCTATGAAGAAAGTAAATGCAGTCCGAATCAAAAGTAAAAATAATTAGAAAAAAACCCAACACAAACTACACTGAAGTAATTAACACAGCAGGCCAGGATAATTGCAGACTTCCAAAAGATAACGACACGCACACACAGTTGTGAGGACGCCAAAAGCCAGATAAGCCTCGACCAAGATTATGCACGCTTTGCTTCCAGCAAGGTGCTGTGTGCAAACGGCCCACTTATATCCTGTTCTCCCAGCTGCAAGTAATGAAAGGGATCAGGGCCTTTTCCTCTCCCTTAAGCCACATTGGTCCCTTCTCCGTTCCTCCATGCATGCCCTAGGATGAAGAGGGGGTGGTCTTCCTCTGAATGACCAGCCGGACTGTGCCCTTCCCCCCGTTTCTTCCACAGCCACCGGAGCCGCACTCCCACTCCCTGTCAGCTGCTCAATCTCCCCCTCGGAATCAGACCCCAACAAGGACATGACACCCTCACACAGCCCAGCGACAACTAGCCCGTGTCCTGGTAGTGGGCTGCAGACCACAGGTGGGGGAACCCCTGAGTTAGAAGATTGCAGTGGCCCAGGGGACAGACCAGCTCCCCACTTCACTCGTAGGGCAGGGTTGGGGGTCTGTGTGGCTCCTGCTGAGAGAGAGAGAGAGAGAAAGAGAGAGAGAGAGAAGATTGCCAAGTTGGGTCTGGCGTCCAGTTGCCTTTTGCATGCAAAATTGTACCCGTAACGATGAAGCAGTTTGCTTGCGAGACTAACCATGACTTTCCAGGATTGGTGAAATAACCTCTTTTTAAACTTTTCTTGCATTCTTCTTCTAATCCCGAAGCTGGTCTTTTCCTTTGAAGCGGGCAAGACGGACCGGGAAGGATAATTCCAGCTGTTGAAAACAGCAGGGGGGGGGGTTTTACTTGATAACAAAATAGCTGGACCTCCGCGGCTGCGATCTTAACTGAGAGCTTCTGTCCTGAAGAGCTGCTGGGCTTGGCGTCGTTCTACATTAGGCTGGGAAAAAGAGGGGAGTCCTACCCACGGAATGGGGAGGGGCAGAGGTGCCCAACCTTGTCCCCCCCCCCCCTTTGAGACGTGCGGGGGTTTACTCCCCGCTTGGCTGGCTGGGGGATTCCGGGAGTCGAAGTTCACACGTCTCCAAGTGGCCGAGGTTGGACACCCCTGATTTTAGGACAGGGGGTCTCCAAACTTGGCAACTTTTAAGACTTGTGGCCTTCAACTCCCAGAATTCTCCAGCCAGCATAGAGCACAGCATCTTAACGTTGCCAAGTTTGGAGACCTCTGTTTTAGGGGAACCCTCCCCAATAACAAAAGGAGCCAGGTGGGGTGTGTGGCCTAACCCTCTAAGTCTGGTCTCTAACCTTCCGCTTTGGCTTGACATTTTAGCATTGCTTTTAACGTCCTCCAACTATCGGGCAGGCCTTCCGCAGGCCTGGCTCGTCCGTCTCCTCTTAACAGCTCCACGCCTAATTTCCTCTCATCCTCCTTATAACTGCCCCCCTTTTTCTCTCCTCTCTCCCTCCTCGTTCATCCCTCCCCCCCCCCCATGCCAGAGCTGGTTCATTCTGTACGTGTCTCCATTCCCTCTTGATTTGTGTAGCAACCTCAGAAATTTTCCATCTGTTGCTCAGTTGTCTCGGATCAACCCGACAACATTACGTGCCTTTGATTTCTCCTGGAGCAGGTACCTGTGTGGTTCCTCCTACCCTTGACTCCACTCCCCCATGGACCCTGGATTTGCAAATCCCTCCTTGGAAGTGCCTCTCTGATAACATTCACCCCAACCATCATGTCCACAGTAAATCCTTCCCTTCTGTTTTTCTTTTTCCCCTCCTCAATGTCTAAACGTGGTTGGAAGCTGCATTGCGCCTGCATCTGAGACCCATCAGCTTTTGTACTGATTCGTCCTTTTGGCCTCATTCTCCAGGGGATTTGTGATGACCTGGGGCATGACACAAAAATAACACAGTCACAAAAAATAGAATAAATTCCCTTTAATGCCTCCAACTTGGGCCGCAATGTCCAATTATCCTCGGCTTGATATCAAACTCTTCGAAAAAAACAGTCTACGAAGAAAGTAAATGCAGTCCGAACTAAATGTAAAAATAAGTAGAAAAAAACCAACACAAACCACACTGGAGTCATTAACACAGCAGGCCAGGATGATAAATTGCGGACTTCCACAGATAATGCAGCACCCACAGTTGGGAAGACGCCAAAACCCAAATAAGCCTCAACCAAGATAAAGTACGCTTTGCTTCTAGCAAAGAGCTATGTGCAAATGCCCCACTTATACCCTGTTCTCCCAGCTGCAACTAATGAAAGGGATCAGGGCCTTTTCCTCTCCCGTAAGACATGTTGCTCCCTTCATACCCTAGGATGAAGAGGGGGTGGGCCTGGGTCTTCCTCTGAATGCCCAGCCGGACTGTGTTCTTCCCCCGTTTCTTCCACAGCCACCAGAGCCATCCACCCACCCCCTGTCAGCTCCTCAATCTCCTCCTCAGAGTCAGACTCCAACAAGGGCATGACAGGATTAAACCTCACTTGAGCCTAGATTGGTGGCTTCCCTTTCTTGGTTGCGGGGGTTGAGTGGCTTTGGCTTGGTGAATCTCTCAAGTCCGCTTAGGAACCCCTTTCCCTTTGGACAGAGGTTCGTTTGAGCAATTTGGTCTGTCACGGCTTCTCTCCATGGTCTGTTCTGCTCAGGAAGAAAACGAGCATTTCCTCCCATCCTTCACTGCTTTCATCTTTATTTGTTAACCGCGATCTTTACTTCCTCTGCCCCACAAATCCCCTCTCCTGCCCGAAGGTCTAAGAAAGAAGAATTTATCTCCGGGAGCTGTGGAGTCTGAGGTGCGAGGCATCACCGGCGTGGACCTTTTCGGCACTACGGATGCTGTAGTGAAGCATGTTCTCGAGGTACTCTGGGGTTGGTGGTGTGTCTCTCTCTGTGTGTGTGTATATGAGGAGGGGGGAACCCTCATGTAAAATTATTGGGAAATAAAAGGAATCGTTGACAGATATTTTTTGAGTGATTGACATCAGGGGCGGACCTCAAAGGCTGATCGGGAACCCAGCTCTCTTGCAGGCCAGTTTTGTAAGATGGCATCTGCACACCTGGCCTTTTGGGAGGAGAAGATGAATGTCTAAGACCAGGGATGTCCAACAACAGCCATTTATAAAGATTTTTGGCTGAATTCTCCAGCTGGCATGGATAACCGCATATCTTACATAGCAGTTGACAACTCCTAACGCAGGGGTCTTCAAACTTGATAGCTTTAAGACTTGTGGACTTAAATGTCCAGAATTCCTCCTCCAATCATGTTAGCTCAGGAATTCTGGGAGTGGAAGTCCACAAGTCTTAAACTAGCCAAGTTTGGAGACCCTTGTGATAGAAGTCCGAGGTACGCACAAACTGTACGCACAAACTGTAACTAAAAATCCAAACAATCCAAGCTGAAGGTAATTGACAGGGCAGGAGAAGGAATTGCAAACTTGAAAGCCCAGCAAAACATACACAGTTGGGAAGACGCCAGGAACACAGATAAGCCACAACAATATAAGATTTGCTCCCAACAACTTACTGTGCACAGCTTCCCTTTTTATACACCGTGTTCCCAGCTGCAGCTAATGAAAAGAATCAGGGCCCTTTCCTCCCCTGTAAGCCACGCAACTCACATTGCTCCCTTCTCCGTTCCTCCCTACGTGCCCTAGGACAGGGGTCTCCAACCTTGGTCACTTTAAGACCTGTGGACTTCAACTCCCAGAATTCCTCAGCCACAAGTCTTTAAAGTTGAAGTCCACAAGTCTTTAAAGTGGCCAAGGTTGGAGACCCCTGCTCTAGGGCGAAACGGGGGTGGGCCTGGGTCTTCCTCTGAATTCCCTCTCCCTTGTTCTACCTCTCCCCTGCTCTGCCCAGCCAGACTTCCCCAGTTTCCTCCACAGCCAACGGAGCCACACTCCCACTCCCTGTCAGCTGTTCTTCCAGCTCAGATTCACACTCCGACGGAGGCGTGACACTTATTTTGAAGCTCTCCTTCTCTTGTGTGTTTTAGGGACACGATCGTGGGGTCAACTGGGCAGCTTTCCACCCCACTATGCCCCTCATCGTCTCGGGGGCTGATGACCGGCAAGTCAAGATCTGGAGGATGAACGGTAAACCCCTTCTTCCCCCTCCCCCCCCCCCCCC